GGGGACTGCGGCCTGGGGCCTGGGGACTGCGGCCTGGGGCCTGGGGACTGCGGCCTGGGGACTTCCATGGCTACCACGCCCTCCGTCCCTTGGCCAGAACCCACTCCTCTGTGGTCCACGAGGGCAGCGTTGTGGCACTCTCTATGGGGAAACAGAGAGCTGGCTTGCCCTTGATTATTCCACGGGGTGGACCCACCCAGCTGCTGTCTGCAGAGCAGCTGCCAGGGGCGAGTGTGCTCCGGGGACAGCAGTCCGGGCCTTCCCAGGGCTCCAGCGCAGTGCTCCACTGAGCCTAGGCCTTGTGCTGCCCCAGGCCCCGCCACACACAGGACCCAGGGCTTTGGCCAGCATCAGCCGCAGCTGTCACCCACCCTCCCTTGCCCAGTGTCACCCGGGTTCCTCGAAGCCGCGCTGGTCACTCCTCATTCACTGCTAGGGCTTTGACCCGAGTCTGCAGCTGTTGTTTTGGCACGGCCTCGGCCCGTTGTGTCTCGGGCTGTTCCCCGGCTGGAGCGCCGCTGAGGCCGCTGCTGCATCACAGGTCCTCAGGCACCGGCCTCTCATGGAGAGCACAGGGGGACCGAGGTCCCTGGCATGTGCAGTTCAGCGCAGGGCTGTGCTCCTGCGTGCGGCGAGGTGGGAGTCCAGGGAGCGGCTGGAGAGGAGGACGCTGCTCGCCTGTGCCCCATCCTGGCTCCTGCCGGGCAGGTGGGTGCCCGCCGTGGCCTGAGAGCAGCGCGGCTGGAGTGAGCTTCAGCAGTCCTGACAGCATGGCAGAGCCCTGGCCTGCAGCATGGGGCCCGGGAGGGAACGGCTGTCACTTTCCAGCCAGAATCCAGGAGCCTGCTGGCCTTTGCTTGATGAGGTGAGGCCCCCACCGGCTTGAGGACCGTCTGAGTACTCAGCGGTGGGCTTCTGGCTCCCTCTCAGCCCTCCTTGCAGAGCCGTGTCCAGTCGGTGCCTCACCAGGCAGGGCCCCCTGCACTTTCCGCTGTGGTGTGCCCATTCAGCCTTGCTGCATTCACGTGGAGGCCCACGGGTGCAGGCAGCAGCAGCCGCTGCACAGCGACACTGAGCGAGCGCTCTGTCACCCTGGGGTCTGGCCCGGCAAAGGCTTGGGCTGGGTTGGGTACTCGCCTCCATTCCTGTCTCTGCCACACCCTGGTGGAGTCTGCTGGCATGCTTCTGGCTCTGCGTCCACATGGAGATGAGCAGATTTGAGGGCCGCCCAAGGCAGGAGATGGCCTGCCCCGGGGGTAGCGGGCGGCGGGATGTCCGGGCTGTGCCTGCTGGTGTCCGGGATGCGTGCGTGCGGCTGATGCCCCGTTCTCGCCCTGTCCTGCAGACCATGACGCGGACTTCGACGCGCTGGTGGACGACATGAAAGCGTCCCTGTACATGACCACCAACATGCACTCGGACACGGTGCCCCTGCTGCAGAATGGCCAGCCGCACGCCTGCAGCCAGACGCCGCCCGTCCCGGGCCCGCGGGCTGCGCAGCCGTCCTCTGTGGGCTCGAAGCCGCTGCTGCCGCCTCCGCCCAGCCCGAAGCTGCTGCAGCAAGCACCGCCCCGACCTCCGAAGCCGCAGCAGCCCCCTGCTCCTGCCCCTTCCCTGAAGCCGCTGCTGCCCCCACCGGCTCCCATCCTGAGGCCACTGCAGCCGCTGCCTCCGGTGCCACAGTCGCTGCCTCCACCTCTGCCTCCATCGCTGCCGCAGCCGATGCTGCCTCCACCACCGCCGCCGCCGCCTCAGCCTCAGCTGCAGGTCCCGGCCCAGGCGCAGGGACAGGTCCCGGCCCAGGCGCAGGCGCAGCAGCCACCGCCCGTGTCGCCCCGGCAGTGGGTGCAGCGCTCCCAGCCTGTGCAGATCAACCCGGTCAGGTGGGTGACGCGTGTCAACCCAGTCAGGTGGGTGACGCGTGGCTCCCCTGTGTGGGATGACGCTGATGCTACGGGTGACTGGGTGGGCCCAGTGGCATGTGAGTTTGCAGCCCAGTCTCTTCTACTGCACCTGCTGAGGGCCAGGAGCCAGGCCAGGTGGAGGGGTGTGCAGAAAAGCTCCAGGGGCAGCACTCAGGATGTCACAGAGACGCTGTCTGGGCAGGTGACCGAGGGCCCGACTGCACTGCCCAGGGTCCGGCCAGGGGCCAGTGACAGAACCACCGCTGGGACTGGCCAGATTCCCCTGGCAGCGCTGCCTGGGTCCCCACAGGGTGGAAGTGGAGGTGTCCCTGGAAGTGGGGCCTAGGGTGCAGCGGCAGGGGCGTAACCCGCCTGACTCCCCTGGCAGGCGCCTTCTGGAGGAGGACCAGCAGTTCCGAACCTCGTCGCTGCCGGCCATCCCCAACCCGTTCCCAGAGCTTGGCCGCACTGTGAGCCCCCCTGTGCTCCCTCCGGGCTCCCTGCTTGTGAGCCAGCGCCCCATAAAGCAGGTGAGTGTGGCCCGGATGGGCAGGCACCGTAGACCGCTCTGCGTGTGTGCGTGGGACCTTTGCTGCGGCTGCTGTGCAGCTATCCTCTGAGGCCTTTCAGTTTCTACCTTCACCGCTGTATGGTTTGAGAAAGTCTCACAGCCGTACCTTTCTAGAAAGTGATCATTTGGTGTTTAAGAGTTACACGTTGATTCTTTAAAAGAAATGCTGTGGCCGGGCTGCCTCATCCCATCGTTGCAGGCTCACGCCTCAGTCGGCTGGCTCAGTGCAAGGACAAAGCACCGACGCCCACGACCCAGGGAGGAGAGGCTGGTCTTGGCTCTAGGTTACAGCCCAGCTCGGTGGCTCCAAGGCAGGCCCAGGGGCCAGGCGGAGGGAGAGGTGCTTGCCCCCTGGTGGCTGGAAGCAGAGGTGGGGAGGGGCCAGGGAGCAGATGCTCCCCCTGCGGCCACCTCTTCTCACCAGAGCCACCTCCTCACGGATACGGACGTGTCCATGGGTTCATCCTCTCACGAGGGCAGCGCATTGGGATGCAGCCACCTGCGCCGGCCCACCTGGCTCCGAGCACATGCAAATGTCAGGGGTCATTTTGGTCTAAATCGGAACACACTACTTCTACACTAAAGCACAGAGAAGGGGAGAGAGAGAGAGAGAGAGAGAGAGAGAGAGAGAGAGAGAGAGAGAGAGAGAGATTGGCAGACAGATACAGAGATGGAGGTGGCAGGAGCCAGGATCCCAAGCGATCCGAAGCAGCAGGAGGAGGCAGCAGTGCCCGCGTGTTCACCAAGCCACGGGCTGGTATACCATCGAAGAACAGCACTTCAGGGTTGGCAAGGAGGGGACTTCCCTGGCACCCCGGCCACTCAGGTCTCTGTCGGTGATAGTCTGCATTGTAAAGTGCGTCCATCCCGGCTTCGCCCAGCCGCAGGACCACAAGGGATGGGGTGGGGGGCCCTAGGTTGTCCCCACACTGAATCAACCCCCTGCTGCGTGTTCTGAGCCCCTTGGCCATCAAGGACTCTGGACGTCCTGGGAGAGGTGCGTGTGGCATTTCCCTCCACGGCCCAGCATGCAGGAGTGTGTCTGAGCAGTGCCAGGTGGCCGCCCCCATAGACCCATGCTGCGGGCCTGAAGGGCTGAGCAGCCGCCAGCAGAGGGATTTGGCCCAGCCTGGGACCATGCTGTGGTTTCCATGAAGGCCACAGCTGAACTTTTTCTGGGAAGGAAAGAAGACACTAGTATACCGGAAACAGTGCGGGCAGCTGGACGCTGCTTCGCCTCTGTATCTGTACCGTTGTAAGCCGTCATAAGCCTTGTCTCACAGGTGCAGAACCCACCAAACAGTGCAACAGCTGGGTCGCATTGAACCAGGAGTGGGGAGAAGCCGCTTGCTACCTGCTGTCCAGGAGGTAGAGCGAGGGGACTGCCATTCCCAGCAGCACCAGTAGGAGGCGCTTTGTGTCCTTTGGTAGTGCTGTTGCGGGGAGCCATAGAGCCCCTCCCGGGCGTGGGCTTACCAGGGTTAGCATTCCTGTGCTTTCTGGGACAGCTGAGGTCAGCAGGGTCCTGAGGCCTGTCAGAACCCTGTTGCTGACACTATCATGTGAACTTCCCGTCTGTCTTCAGGAAAAGTAGCGTGTGAGACGTGTGTCGGTGAGGCAGTAGGTGGCAGAGGCAGGAGCGGAGGTGGGTTCTGATTAGGGAGCACTTCCGCCTGCGCTCCTGGGTGGGGTGCTGGAGAGAGGCTGGGAGGCCACAGAAAAAGAGGGCCATTGGAAACACGGGAATTTAGAGAAGAGAAGAGCTGCAGCTTTTCCTGTCACCATGAGTGGAAGCGTGTGGAGTTTCTCCACGGGGCCTGGCCTGCAGCTTGGCTGGGCGAAGGCAGAGCCGTGAATCCTGGCTGTAGGACAGGCGGCTGGAGGCGCACAGACACTGCAGCTCCTGTCAGCTGAAGGGGAAGGGACAGGGCTGTGTGGCTGTGTGGGTGGCTAACGTGGAAATCTAAACCTGTGGGTCTGCTGAGTAGTCCAGCTGTCTGTTGAATATCAGTGCCCTCCTCCCGGAATGTGCCTAGGAGGGAGGAGTCTGACGACAGAAGTCCCTCCGAACGCCAGGCAGTGAGCGCTCGGGGTGTGGAGCGCCCAGGACGGCAGCTCCAAGGGCCCCAACCTGAGATAATGTCCTGCCCAGCTCAGGACTTCATGGAGATCCCTGGGCCAGGCGGACACAGGATGCTGCTCTGGGCAGTCGTTGCTCGCAGGCCTTTCCTCAGCTCTGGGGGCAGCTGTCCCCCTGCCTCCCTGGGGACACCTCCTCTTGGGCTGGGGATCACAAGCCAGCTGGCTCCCGGGTTTACAAGAGGCTCCCAGAGTCGTAGGATCCCAGCTGCCTGCTTCCCGTGAGAGCTTCTGCCCCAGGAAGTCACTGGAAAAGATGTCACTGCCCTGGGAGCTTCCGGTTGGGGGCCTGAGGACCCAGCGTTGGGGTGGGGAGTGTCTGGGGGGGGTCAGGCTGGGTACCTCGGGGAGCTGCCAGCTCACCTGAGAATTTGCTCTGCAGACGGCTGGGGGCGGGGAGGCTGAAACAGCCCCCTGGTCTATTTTTACAAGGGGATTGTCACTGAGCCCTTCGGGGAGGCTCACCGCCCAGTCAGGAGGTCTCTGGGATTCGGTGACATGGCTCCCTGAGCCTGTCTGTGGGCGGAGGCAACAGCGAGGCCTACGTGCTCTCTGCGTGCCCTGGGAGTGAGACTCCCAGCCGAGCCTGCTGCAGAGCACTGCCACCAAAGCCACCGACTGGGTGACCGTGGGTGCCCTGGCCAGCTCCTGCCGGCCCACACCCTGTGAGCAACGGCTGTCCAGCAGGGACCCGCGGCTGTCCGACTTGGGCTTGAGGCACACGCAGGGATGGGTCACTCCATGCTGACTCACAGAGCCTGGCTGGCTGTGGTGCCGGCTCTGCCGCTGCCCGGAGGTCGGCCCTTCGGGGAGCACAGATGAGTCGGAGGTTGGGGTGGACCCCGAGAGCACGAGTGCGCTGGCTGGGTTCTTGCTGCTCGGAGAGAGCAAGGAGCCGGGATGTTTCCAGCCAACTGGCTCAGCTCTGTGCTGAGACCCAGGTGCCTGGAGGAGAGTGGGAGAGGAGGGTGTAGGCGGTTGCATCAGCCGGCAGGACGGGGCTGGCTGCTGGGGCAGCTTGATTTATGACCCGAGGGGCAGGTGTGGGGCAGCCAGGTGGTGGCAGAGGCCTGGGGTGGTCAGAGCACAGCCAGCGGGGATTGGCAGCCGCGCCCGGGACAGGGAGCCCAGCCTGCCAGACAGTGGGCAGCGAGCGGGCGCAGGCAAGCTTCTCGGCAGCGGACAGACACCGTGTGGAATGCCATCTTGTCCCTCTGGTTGTTTTTTTCATGCGGTGCTGGTAAGATTTTCAAATACTCGCATCTCCGCCACTGTCAAAGCTAGAGAGGCTGTCGGGGTCCTCCGGGAGCCCTCCGGCCTGTGCCTGGAGCTGTCCAGTTCCCCAGGTCCGATGGGGCTTTGGGGCAGGAGGGCCGAGCCCGTTCCCGGCCTATTCCTCCTTTGTCGTTTCAGTTGGCTTCTGTGCTAGCACTTCTGTGTTCGTGTACCCCTCATGTACCCAACTCCTCCACTCAGGTTGGGGGTGGGCGGGGTGGCAGGGAGGAGAGCAGGTGTTAGGGTGGGGACAGGCACCCCCTGTAAGAGCCCTGTGGCTGCTGTGCTGGCTTTACAGCTGGTCAGGAGTCACTTGTGCCCCGGGACACCTGCTGTGCCTGGAGGACCGTGTGCTCTTGCTCAGCGGTGGGGGTGTCTCCCCCAGAGGTTTGAAGGGTGTGGGGTTGTTGGCCCGCGCACCTGCCCCCAGGAGGCAGGCACGGGGGCACAGAGGGCGGCGAGGACCACTGAGGGGCCCACTCCCGCAGCTGGGCCGCTTTTACGTTTGTTTCTGGGCAGGCAGCCCTGGTCATCCACGTGCCTCCTTTGTGTGCTGCAGGATCTTAAAATCTTTACTGAAGATGGGACTGGCAAGGTGGTGGAGATTCTGACAGACATGACAGCCAGGGACCTGTGCCAGCTTCTGGTTCACAGAAGCCACTGCGTGGATGACAACAGCTGGACAATCGTGGAGCACCACCCGCAGTTGGGATTAGGTAGGGAGCCGCCGGGTGCGGGCCCTCGGAGGTGCCGCCCCGTCCCGTGTGTGGCTGCGCTGTCCCCGGCGGGCCGCAGGCGCCCTTGTGCTGCCTCATGCCCCATGCCAATTCTTCTGCTCCGCCTCACTCCTCCTCCTGCAGTGGCTTCCCCCCTGCCCTGCTGCCCCAGGGGCCCCACGTGCTATGGCGGGGGACCTTCCCCTGCACATCTCAGGGGCACCCAATGTGACAGACAGGCTGTAGAAGTCTAGTGGGTCTCAATTCAGTGGCTGATGCGTTGTGAGGTCCCTCAGGCGCGGGACTGCAGATGAAAGGGCGACTTAAGCATAGTGCAGCTCCTGGACTCTCCCCCGTTTGCTGTGGGTGACCATGGGGCGTGGTCACTGTGTTTCCTCCTCCCCGCCTCACGGGGCACTCTCCCCTGCAGAGCGGTGCTTGGAGGACCACGAGGTGGTGGTCCAGGTGGAGAGCACCATGGCAAACGAAGGCAAGTTCCTGTTCAGGAAGAATTACGGCAAATACGAGTTTTTCAAGAATCCGATGGTGAGTGTTCGCTCTCCGATTCTGGGTTGGGGTGTTGTGAAGTAGCAGAATCGGATGAGGGCATCACTGATGGGGCTGTGGGGCAGGCCAGGGGCCGGGGGTCGAAGTGGCTGTGGAATGGAGGAGTCTCGCTCAGAACAGGCCCTGCCACTTCGCGAGGTGTCACCGTGGCCGCCTTCGAGGGGACTGCCCTTCCTCAAATTATAATGGGGGCCTGCAGCAGCCAGGCTTTTCTGGCTCTTTGGAAAGCTCGTACAACGGATTTTCCTGGTCTGAGTGTCCCGTGCATACTGACCACACTCGTGTGGCGTAGGCACATGCACCCCGCCTGCTTCTTCTGCCTCCGACTGCTCCCTCCCTGCCAGCTCCACTGTCCGTTCCTTCCCTTCTGCAGAATATCTGTCTCCCCACTTCCTATTGCCTGCCGTTTACTCAGCTCTTTAATTGATCTATAATCTGGGTTCTTCACGTAAGAGCCACCGTGTGGCAGCTGAGCTCCTGTGTCTACCTAATTTCCCTTAACGTTATGGCCTCAAGGTACGTGCATTTTCCTATGAGTGAGTCACGCACAGACTCTTTGTAGCTGAGCAATACTCTGTGATGCATAAATACCACGTTTTCTTTAGCCATCCGTCTGTTGCACTTGGAAAGTTCTTAAGTTGGAACAAATTGGTCAGATACTTGGAGGAAAAAAGTGCTCCTCATTCTCTGCAAATGAGTCTTGTGGCTCCACAGGGAAGGGCTGCCTGGGGCACTGCTGCCCCCTCGGTTTTTCTTGCCTCTTGAATTTTGAAGAGCTGCATGTCCTGTGACAGACACATTGTCCGGGGACCTCAGAACTCGGCGGCACTTGCGAGTTCTGCCAAGTTAGCCGCTCTCTCCTTAAGAAGGAAGACACATTGCAGGCCACTCGGGGTCCCTTGGCAGAAAGGGCCCTTGTGCACAGTGGTGCCCACCAGTGGCTCGGGAGCTCTGTCTCTTGCCACCAAACTGGGACTTTGGCTGTAGGAAGCCTGGTAGGCGTCCCTAGAATGCATCCTACAGGTGACCCAGCTGAGCACGCGTTGAAGTAGGTGTCCCCACCATGTGGGAATCGAAAGGTTTCACATGCAAACGTAGACCGTCATGCTTCGGTGTGCATTTACTCTGTGGACTGGTGTGCCCCCTCCCCGACGCACTTTGACGCTAACCTTCCACACTTTGGTTTTTCCTCAGACCTTCTTCCCAGACCAAATGGTCACTTGGTGCCAACAGTCCAACGGGGGCCAGACCCAGATTTTACAGGTACTGAGCACACGGGAGGCAGCTTAAGAGGCTCAGAGAGGACGCGTTCTTTCCCACACAGGCTGGGCACTGTGTGGGGCTTGGGTGGCCAGAAGTCGGGGTGTACTTAGGAAGTCAAGCCAGGATCCTTCGTGGCAGCGAAGCCCTTCGCTGTCCCCTCACATAAGGAAATGTGTGTGTGTTTTCATGGATGGTGGCCAATGCCGTCTGCTTGCCCGGGTCTCAGGACAGACCACATCCTGTCCGGGGCAGTTTAGCTGGGTTCTGGCTGTGGAACGTGGAGAACTCTGACTGACTGAAATAGAGCCAGGAAGAGAGAGCATTTTAGTGATCTGGAAAATCTCAGCTGTGCACATGACCATATTTATTTTAATTATTTTATACTAACATATGAATTTTTAAACAATTTACCCTCCCTAGAATTTTCTGAATGTCAATAGCTGCCCCGAAATTCAAGGCTACCTGTACGTGAAGGACCTCGGGAGGAAATCGTGGAAGAGGATGTATGTGTGCCTAAGGCGGTCCGGCCTGTACTTCTCCACCAAGGGCATCTCCAAGGTGGGTTTCTGTCCTTGGCCCTGAGGCAGGGCAGGCTCAGGGACCGCTTCCTGGTCTGGGGTGCTGTGGCCTCCGGCCAGTCAACGGGGCTTGTTGATGGGCTCGTGTAGGGTGGAGCTCTGAGCAGAGAAGGCAGAAAACAGCAGGGGCTCATGCAGAGACCCCAGGCCACACCCCACTGCACCCCCACTGGCTCAGCTTTCAGGATCAGAAGTTGGGGTGCGAGCTGGCTGTGAGGGTGTCAGCTGGCTGTGGCTGCTCTGAGCCAGCAGACTGGCAGATGTGTCTGCAGCCGGCAGCGGGTTGTGCTTGAGCCCAGTGAGAAGAGCTGCAGAGCTTAGCCGTAGGCTGGGGGCGCGCAGTCCTCGCCAGGCCCCCGCATGTCGCGCCCTGCGCTGGGCACCCACCTCCTTGCACCCAGACGAGCACTGCCTTTGAAGACTGGGGCTGCAGGCAGGGAGAAGGGGCGTCGTCCTGAGAGGGACAGGGCACGGGCTTTTCCACCTTCCCACCCTGCTTCCTGGCCTCCTTGGCATTCAGTCCAGGCCGAAGCCAGGAACAGTTTGTGGTCCTGAACAGGAAGCAGGCTTGGCTGGGGTGGCTGGGAGGGGGTGGGGTGCGTTAGTCAGGCTCCACCCGGGGAACAGCCCTGAACACAGCAGCCTAAAGGAGAGGTTGGCTTTGGCTCAGGGCTCCGCTCATGGTTGGCCGGCTCCCAGGCAGGAACAGGAGGGCAGAGGGGAGGGAAGGGTGACCACCCAGGACAGCCAAGAAGGCAGGAGAAAGGAGAAGTGGGGACCAGCCCCTCCGGGCCATGCCCAGCACAGCCCCCAGAAACCCACTGAGGAGCCAGAGCCCCACGGCCACCTGCTTCCCCACGGGAGGCCATATGTGGGCCTTGCTGCAGCACCTCGTGCCTGGGAGTTGGAGAGCGGGGGTCTGCTGGCCTCATGCCTCAGGTGCATGCAGCCTCTGAGCTGGCAGTCGGAAGGTGGCCCAAAAATGCACAGGTGCCCCTTGCTCTGAGACACTGGAGCATAGGGCTTTGCCGCATCGGGAGTCGCCCTGCTCACACCTGGCCCATTTCCACAGGAGCCCAGACACCTGCAGCTGCTGGCAGACTTGGAGGACAGCACCGTCTTCTATGTCATCTCTGGGAAGAAGCTGTATGGCGCTCCCACCGACTACGGGCTCTGCATCAAGGTGCGCGCCCAGGCCACGAGAGCCTGGCTCATGGAGGTTGGGTCCCGGCCATTTGTGCTCTGTAGCTCTGGGGCTGGGCCCAGGGCCTTTGCCCTGAGTGATAGCCCAGCCCTTACTGTTTGGGACTTTGAGACAGGATCTTGCTGATTTTTCAGAGTGTGAGATAACCAGGGGTGGCAGGGCACCGCCCCTGGTGTTTCTTGCATTTTTACCAGGAGTGCAGGCCCACACTGGGCTGTTCTGTTCCTGGAAGAGCATTGATGTGTGTCCTTGACAAGGTGCTCCTTGAGTTCCTTTGGGCCCGCACCTTGTGACCGGGGTGGGGGAGGGGTGTGCTGGGCTGCAGCTCAGCAGCAGCAGCAGGCAGAGGGGACTGGCCAGGCAGGAAGACCCCTGGTTGTCGCCATGGGGCAGTGAGTGGCTGACAGCGTCTGTGGCTTTGGCCCCCAAGTGCAGCCACACAGGAGTGAGCACGGCACCGCCTGCCCTCTATGTGCACATGAGCGAAAGCGTGCAGTGGTACACATACATGTGTGTGCACTGACAAAGCACAGCACACACACACATGTCCATGCCGTCACGCGTGTGCATGCTTCTGAGTATGCAGAGCCCTGCTCTTCATCCTGGTACGGTAGTGCTTGTGCAGGTGCCCAAGGTAAGGGCCACGTTGGGACTTCGTGTGGATGCCCAGCAGGTCACAACTGCAACAACCTAACCCTTAGCACAGCCCTGTGCCTGCCAAAACCCACCATCTCCATGGTCACAGGAGCTCTGGCACACCTGGACCCTGCTGCAGGCCGCCCGCCACCTGCATCTCCACACGGTGGCCCTGGGCTCACAGGCGGGGCCGTTGGAGTGCACACTGTGCCCACAGGCTCCCCAACCCAGGGCCCTTTGAGTGGCGCCCAGCCCCTCCCCCAGGGTAACTTCGGGTCTTTTGTTCTGTTGCTCCCGAGGCTGCTGTCCCACAGAAAGCGGCTCAGGATGATTCACTCTGAGTTCCCACTGCCCCTTCCCAGCTGGGGTGGTTCTGGCTTCAGCTGGGGGACAGCAGCTGCCACCAGGCCTGTCACGCAGGTGCTGCGGGCCCCCGCCGTGTCCTTGCGTGGTGACACCAGCTGGGGGCCTTCTGCCTCACTGTGCTGACCGGATTCTCTCTGACCTGCAGCCAAACAAGGTCAGGAATGACCCCAAGGAGCTGAGACTGCTGTGTGCCGAGGACGAACACGGCCGCTCCTGCTGGATGACGGCCTTCAGGCTCCTCAAGGTGCTGCCAGCTCGTCACCGAGCGTGTCCTTCTCCAAAGCTCCGGGGAGCCACTAGAGGGCCTCGCGCAGCAGGGGCGGAGCCATGCCCTGGGCCTCAGCACACTAGCTCTTGCGAACAGCAGCTCTGCTGGAGGGGCCCTTGTGCACGGTCAGCAGCAACCACAGCCGGCTGAGTCAGCCACAGATGCCTCCGGACCTTGCTGCAGGTCCCTGGGGCTGGAGGCCGAGGCACTGCCCCTGGCTGAGAACCACTGCGTTACAGGAAGTAGCGGCGTGCCTTTTGCTGCTGTTTGTGGTGCTGAGGATTAAACCCGGGGACTTCATGTTGAGTGACAATGCACCAGTTTTGTTTTTCATTGTGAGTCAGGGCCTTAGTAAGTTGCCAGGCTGGGGTGGAGCTTGAGATCCTCCTACCTCAGCCTCCCAGAATGCCAGGATGACAGGAGCATTACACCATATTTGGCTTGTCTGGATTTTATTACTCTAGCATAGTACCAGAGGCAGGCTGCCTTACAAAGAAAATAGGTTACCCACCCTCAGTCCAGTGGTCTGCAGGCGCAGGACTGGTCTTGCCTCGGCTGTGGTGTGGGTCCCATTGCCACACCATCACAGTAACAGTGCCATTTGGAATATTTCTCCTGACCTATTCTCACTCTTCCCAGGGGAGTGTGGCAATTCTTATACACTTTCAGTGCATAGGCCATTTCGCCTCATTGTGAAGGTTTTTACTTCCGAAATGGCCCGTAACCATAGAGCCTAGAGCCAGAGCCCAGCTGGTGGCCCCGGGGCAGTGTCAGGGGAAGACGCACCCACCTCACAACTTCATTTTCTTTTCTTGTGCCTTTTTAAAATTCCATCTTCCAAGCGTGTGGTTCAGGCTGGTGCTTAGACAGTGTCGGCTGAGACATGTGTGAGTCCCTATAGTCGAGATGAACAGCACACAGACTGGTAGGCTGGCTGAGCCGGAAGCCTGGTGCCTGGGGGCTTCTCAGTAACTTTCTCAGCACTGTAACAAAGTTGCTGACACCCCCAGCTGGAGCTAGAGGTTCACTCTGGTTCTCAGCTTTGGTCCTGGCCAGCTGGCTCCAAGCCGGAAGTGGCACAGAGAGGGGTGGGAGTTGTCGTGCCGCCCCATGGTGGCCAGCAGCAGAGAGCAGGGAGGGGCTGGGATTGAGAGTGAGGCACCCTACCAGGCATGCCCAGGGACCGCCTGCACCCAGGCCCCGCCTCCCACCCTTCGGGCAGCCCCGAGCTCACCAAGCCATGTGAGCTCAGCTGCAGTCTCCGGCCACACATGGGAGGCTTTGGGGGACATTTGGATCTAAACCATCACAGGGGGCACTTTTAGAACAGGTTCGTGCAGCTGAGACCTGCACCCTTACTTTCCCACGTCCGTGGGCTACTTGCTTTACCTCCTGTGCCTTTCCTGACACTCTTTGTGATGTGAGGACAATCGTAGGTGTAGCTCGTAAGTGGGGGAGGATTAAGTGATACCCTGAAGCACTCAGGATGGTACTGGGCGGAGGCAGCACTCGCTGAGGAAATGCTCCTGTCCCAGGGACTTCCCTCCTGCCTTTGCAAGGAAATGGGCAGAGCCAAGATGAGAGCACAGCCCTGGGTGTGCCTTGGTTCACAGGGCCGCTGACGGCTCTGCCCCTGCTCTGTGCCAGCCGTGGTGTCTGCCCTGTCCTGGACATGGGCGTCCCTTGCTTCCTGCACTGACTGGCCTTTCTCCCACAGTATGGGATGCTTCTCTACCAGAACTACTGTGTCCCTGTGGAGAGAAAAACCGCGCTTTCTCCCTTCTCCACTCCGGTGGTAAGTACAGTCACGACCTTCCACCCATAGCCAAGTGCCTTCCCACTGCCAGCCACATGGCTTATGGACATCCCGTGTCCACGTGTCGTGGGCAAGAAAGGGAAAGACACACACAATGTGGGGAAGCCGGCGGGACTCAGCCTTCCGGTTTCCAAGAGGATGGCTTGCACACTCTCGGCAGCACACCTGCCTGCAGGGAGACTTCGGTAGCTTCACATGTCCCCTCCCTGCACACGCACTCATGGCTGCTGAAAACAGGGCTCTTTACGAGCTCAGAACTGTCCAGAGCAGCTCTGGCTTCCCAGAGTTACCTTTCTGCTTGGGTCCTTAAGCAAGGGGCCCTAGGGCCCTGACCACTGTACTGAAAGTCCCTGGTGAGACTTTAGAGACTCGAAGCCCTCCTTGTGTGTCCCTAGTGTGGCTCCCTGCTTCCCAGAGTTGCTGCGGGCTTTGCACATCCTGAGATGGCAGGTGAGGTTGCAGGCAGGGTCCTGCCTTGGAGCCCAGGTGAGGGTGTGCTGTGTGGGTGAGCGTGCAGCTCCCCGCTGTCTCCTCGGCCCAGGTGGGCCTCGGTGCAGGTGAGGAGTCAGTGAAGGACCGCAGGGCCCACGTCCAGCTGGCGCCAAGAGGCCCCATAAGCAGCCTTTGCATGAGAAGCCAGGGAGCGTTCCTGCTTCTGCTTCACAAAACCCCAAACTGTGCCAAGCACAGCACCTTCCAGCTGTTGGATTTGCAATCTGAACCAGTGACTTCCAGACTGAATCCCAGCAAATGCTGTGGGGGGAAAACCCTGAACCCTGAGTGGGCTGCATGGCTGACCCCTGCACCTCAAGAATTTGTGGTCTTCCCATTCCAGCGCAGCGTCTCTGAGAACTCTCTGGTGGCAATGGATTTCTCTGGGCAGACAGGAAGAGTGATCAATAACCCGGCTGAAGCCCAGAGCGCTGCCGTGGAAGAGGCCCATGCCTGGCGGGTAAGGCTTAATGGGCTGCCTGGCAGGTGCTCTGCTGACTTGGTCTCAGCCAGAAGAGCAGCTCTGGAAAGGGCTGGAGCTGCTGTGGCAGCTGTCCTGGGGGTCCCCCCACTTCAGCACCCAGGCAGCCGTCGCTGGCCCTGCAGAAGGGCAGTGGAGAAGCAAAGCCCTGTGCCTGCTTTGACTCACGGGCAGAAATGCCCCTGCCGGTGAGCTGGCTGTGGCTGCCCTGGGCTTGAAGGACGCCGACAGGCACCCATACCAAAGCTCCCCCAGGGAAAGCCCCAGCCCCAGCCCCACATCCCTCCACCTTTCACATTGTCCTTATCTGAAGATCGTGCAGGAGGCAGAGCCCAGGGCTCTGGCTTGGAAAGCGCTCCCTGTCCCGTGGCCTCTGATGAAGGAGCAGAAGGTCCTCGAGCCTCGAGAGCTTGTTGCATCCCCAGCCCCCGCTTTGTGCCATGTAGTCAGGGTTGCATTGCGCACCATGTGACACGCAGGCCTCCTCACCTCTGGGATGGCAGGCGATGCCCCAGGCAGGGCGGGCCATTTCTAACCGCTGTGAGCCAAGCTCACTCTTCTCAGCGGCCTGACACAGGCATTTCTTTTGCAGAAGAGAAGCGCTCGGATTAATATGCTGGGAAGCCAAAGTCCCCTTCATCCTTGTACCCTGAGCACAGGTAAGCGAGCCAGCTGCCCCATGTTGCTGCACGTAGTGACGAGGACACCTCTGCCCTCTGAGCTTCTCATGCTGCCTGGGCGGGGTGGGGGGCTTGGGCCTGGGGCAGGGGCGGGGCAGCGCCTGCTGCTGGGCGCAGAGCCGCAGGCCAGGGAGGCCGCGTGGTGCAGCTGTGCCCTGTCCTCTCCCACAGTCATTCACAGGACCCAGCACTGGTTCCACGGCAGGATCACCAGGGAGGAATCCCACAGGATTATTAGACAGCAGGGTCTCGTGGACGGGTAAGGAGCCTGCATCTGTTCTGTTTTCTGTCTTCTCAGGGTGAGCAGTGCTTTAGCTTCCTTTTGGAGAGAAGAAACTCTAGGCTCACAGGTGTTCAGGGCTGTGCAGGGCTTGCCCAGTCCATGGGGTGAGAAGGGAGTCCTACCGTAGCCACGCAGAGTTCTTTGCAGTGATTCCTTCTGCAGAGGGGTATGGGCTGTGATCTACCATGCACCGTAAGAGGAAGTTGCCTCCTGTGCTGGCTGTGTAACCCTAGGGGAGGCACCAGACTTCCCTGTGCCCCTTGAGGACACTGTCCTGTTGCCCCATTCTTCACAAAGGCCGGGGCTCTCTCCCTTTCCCTCCTGGGTCCTGTCTGCAGCCTCTGAGCAAGGTCTTCGCCCAGCCTCTTCCCTGACTCTGCCGTTGCCTCGGTGTCGCTGGGCCTCTGCAGGGTGCTGCTGTCATGGCTGTTGCCTCCAGGGGTCGTGCATGATGGGCTGTGGGGCACAGCGCCTCTGTGCAACCTAGGGCCTTTGAAGGAGGTCTGCAGGACAGAGGTGTGCATAGTGGATGAAGACAGTGGGCTCTGCAGAGCAGCAGGAGGCCCTTCCTGGGTCAGGCCGGAGTTCTCGCTGTAATCCTGTCTTAGTGGTCATAGCAGATGGACAAGCTTCAGACTCTGCCTGTAAAGTCGGAGCCCCTGGGAAGTTGGGGCATCTCCCCACGACCATCCTGTCAGCAGTGAGGGTCCTAGGAGGTTCCTAAACCTACGTGCCCCTTGGAATTAAGTTGCAGACTCACTGACTCCCACTATAGAAAAAGAAAGGAACTTACTAGGCAGACATCAAACATGTGTGCTGAAAGAGACGGGGCAAGACCGAGACAGAGAGAGTCAGAGACAGGCAGGGACTGAGACCGCGACACAGACAGACCTGAGGATCGGGAGCGTGGGTTGTCTTCCAGCTGGGTCACCTGGGCTTTGTGTTCTTGCTGGCGCCTGACCCATGAGCTGCACCACTGTGCAGACCTCTTACGCCTGTCAGGCTAAGGTCTGCTGCCCGTTAGCAGTCCCGTTAGCAGGGTCTGTGGGAAGCGGTATAACTTACCCGGTGGAAAACACAGGCCCAGAGCCCAGTTTTCAGGCTGAAGATGTCTTTAAGATGCTTAGGAAATGTAAGTTTCCTGGAAAAGATAAAAGCTTAAGGTAGCTTTTGCATCCCTTTGCTGCCGTTTTTCTTAGAAGTACATTTTTAAGATTTCTATTTACTGGTCTACTTTCTGCCAATCTTTCGGTCTTCTGTGCTGCTGTTACCGCAGATAGATCCGACAGTTGGGTTCCGGGTTTCTGTGTACAGCAGGCAAAGAACTGCACATGTACACCTGGTGAAGGAAGAGGATGTTAGGGGCAGGAAGGGTTAGAGAGAAGCTCCTGAGAGGTGATGGTTCCTTGGGTTATTTTCTATTTTTGTTGTTTTGGTACCAGAGATCGAACTCAGGACCTTGTGCTTGCCAAAGTGCTTGTGCCACCGAGCTATCTCTCCAGCCCTCCTTGGGGTTTTTACACATGAGAAGGAGCGCATCTTGGGCCATCCAGGGCGGGGTCCAAGTGCAGTCCCCTGGTTGTTAAGGATCCAGTATGGTGACAGTGTATGGTGTAGCGTCAGCCCATCCGTAACTTCCAGCTCCGAGAGCAGAGAGCAGGCCTTCTCAGGCACAAGAGTGGGTGGGGGCCGGCTGCTCTGCCCTGCTCAGGCAGCTGACGCTGTCGGGGCTCACTGAGGCAGGGGTGCTGAGCACTGCGCTGTCCAGCTGGTGTCTGTCTGTCTCTGGGGAGGGTGGTGGCCTGGCCCTTGCTAGTTTGTCTCCAGAGGTGTCCCCTCTCGGGCACGGACACCCAAGGGCCCAGTCTCAGAGGGCCTGTTCATTCTTACCCAACTGAACTGTCCGCTAGCAGGGTGCACAGCTGACTTCAGGCTGCAGGGTGCCCAGCGAGGCGCTCGCCCGCTCAGCCTCCTCCCTGGGTCCCTTGGTAAGGTAGAGAGGAGTGAGTAACAAGGTCCTGAGTCACCCTGAGTCAAGGACTTTGGCCCTTGAGGGCAGTCCAGGATTCACACTAAGTCACAGCAGCACGGCATGATTAGCCCTGGAGCGTTGCCCGAGCCCAGAAGGGCAGCTTTCTCTGCCCTCTGTAAGCCGTTGAGTCCAACTCACTACCCTAACGTGGTGGGCAGGGAGATGGGCCTGGCTCCTGCGGCAGGGCCTTGCCCACGTCCCTGTGTGCCCCTTGCTTCCTCTGCGAAGGAAGCAGCAGGAAGTTCAGCCACCGAGAGGGGGACAGGCGTTCCTCCCCTGCAGTTAGACGGAGGCCGACAGACGCCTAGTCCTCTGTGATACCTCTGTTTTCCTGGGAATGATGGCTGTGGGATAAGACCGAGGCCGACAGATGAGGCTGGCTGTGCACCCTGCTGCCGTGGTTTTGGGGTGTTGTGCTGGCCCTGGGGATCTTTTCCACGCTCTTGCTATCCTGAACAAAGAATTGGACACACAGAAAAGATCCCTGCCTTATGTTTCTTGAAGGTGGAAAAGAAGTGCTCTGCTGAGAGGGCATGGCAATTTTGTTTCTCTACTATTTTTTTCATGAATGACTGGAGAATATGCTACAGCATGAGGCCCCTTTATGCCCAATTATTTCCATGTAAAATTATTATAAACATGGCTCCATTGCCATAACTACAGCCTTGATGTAAAAGTCAGGAGGTTGGCTTTGGTGGGACCGCGTGCCTACATGCTCAGGTATCCCCAGTCCTCCGCATTGTACCATCCGCACTAAAAGGGAAGGCCGGTGGGCCTCTTCTGTGGTCTGTGTTGGTTCCCTGACCCAGCCCGCCTCTGGGCACAGGCCGGCCCAGCCCCACAGTCAGCCGTGCCTAAGGGTCCCAGGTCCTTTTGGGTGGGGAGGACACCTCAGAAGGAGGGGGCGGGTGCTCTCCAGCATCGCCACTAGCATCCCTGGATGCCACAGCCCCGAGTGTGATGTGTGCTCAGACAGCGTGCTGAATGTTTGAGGTTTTTAACTTGCCACAGTGGAAGCTGCACTGCAGCGGACCCCCTCCCAGCCCCCACCCCGCTTCCAGCCCTCCGCGCGGGATCCCCGCGTGTTCTGCGGCAGCTCTGCAGTCCTCCTGCGTGAGGACTCACGGTGCCTGCGCTGCCACGGCAGCTGCTGCGCCCTCGCCTGGCTCCAAACACTGACCTCCCATGGTCATTTGGACTTCGGGGAAGAGGCAGGGTCACAGGGCGCCACGCCCAGGCCCACTGAATAATGGCATCGTGTTCCCAGCGGCCTTCTGTTGCGGGGCGCTGGGTGGTGGCCTTCACCGTGTTGCCGATCACACCTCGTGAAGACCCCCAGGAAAGAGGGCCCGGAGCTGCTGCAGGCAGGGGCCGGAGCGCAGGGGTGTGTTCAGAGCAACGGGAGGCTCGCGGGGCGTGCGTGCGCCCCTCACCCCGACGTGCTGGGTGGGGCTGGCGCCTGCGTGTGCATCGGGACTTTGGGCCCTCACCGCCGCGCCGTTCCTGCCCACAGGCTCTTCCTCCTACGTGACAGTCAGAGCAACCCAAAGGCCTTCGTCCTCACACTGTGCCATCACCAGAAGATTAAGAACTTCCAGATCCTCCCTGTGAGTACCGGGCGCCAGGTGGTCGGCGCCAGGTGGTCGGCGCCAGGTGGTCGGCGCCAGGTGGTCGGCGCCAGGTGGTCAGCGCCAGGTGGTCGGCGCCAGGTGGTCGGCGCCAGGTGCTCGGCGGGCTGCGGGCTGCCCCGAGAGCGCGAGCTCGCACGCAAGCAACCCGGCCGTCCGACTTGCAGGAGGCATGCTTCGGCTCTGGGATCCACGTCCCCTCGGCAGTGCTGCTGAGGGTGGCCACACCGTGCCCGCGCCTGCCTCGCCTCAGCCTTTGAGCCCATAAGCTAGCTCTCGGGCGTGGCAGGAAGGCTCTTTTGCACGTGGCCTCACCTTCCGTGAGCTGGGCAGCCCGTGTCCTGATTCAGGTGCCCTCCGGGACCACCCTCAGTGCAGCTGGGGATATGACACCGAGAACTGATGCCACGTGCTTTCCGTGGTGCAGGCACGGATAACTGTCGGGGACGCTCCTCCCCCAGAACTCAGATACGGAAACAGCTCTGCGAGGTCTGGAAAGCCCGGCAGCAGCCGCGGCACGTGGTCCTTTCGCAGGCTCCTCGGCCCCCAGCGTGGTGGCTGTGTTCTAGGCACCAGGCAGCGATGGCAGCGGTGGGCAGGTTCAGGGCGTGACCGCAGGCTCACTGAGTCTGAGCAGACGTGAATGCGCCATGCACAACGCCTGCTGTGTCCCCAGGACGGTGCTTAGTGCCCAGCCCAGGGTGGCCACCACACCTGGCATTTCCCCCACGTCGCGTGGCTTTGAGTCTGTCCCTGACTGTTCATTGATGTTTAACCTGCGTGCCACGTTGTCCCCTAAAATTCTGCAGTAAGCCTACAACCTCAAAAAATAAATAAATAAATAAATAAATCCCTACATACAATAACATTAGAAAAGAATGTAGTGAAATTAGGGCGGGGTGGGAAGAGGTCAAGGGAACTGTACAAAGCCATGATGGGGCAGAAGGGAGAAGGGGAGTGCCGTGACACAGCAGGGTGACTAGGAAACAGCTCTCTACTGGCCAGAGAGCTAGAGGAAAAGATTTTAAAGGTTTCCCACCCAGCACTGGCGTTTGAGGCCCTTAGCATGTTTTAGTGACTTCAAGCCTTCCGTAGTGAGCACATGCAGCTAAACACCGTGTAATATGCATAATTGTTACATTTTTATGCATCAGCTTAAAATTATAAGAGATACGGAATGTAGTTCTAGCTGGGTATCGCGGTATGCACCTAGAATCTCAGCTCTTCAGGGGAGCTAAGGCAGAATTCTGAGTCCAAAGCCAGCCTGGACTGGCCATTTAGCAAAAGAGACTTTATTTCAAAATAAAAAGTGAGAGGTAGATTTGCCTCAGTGCTCTCCAGATTCCATTTCCAGTGTCAATAAATAAATAAACAACAACAACAAAAAAAATTACAATGTAGCTCTGTCTGGCCACAGTGCAGTTTGCAGCCTCTGCTAGTCCCAGTAGAGTCCAGAAAGGTTGCCCCCCTCCCAGCATTACGGGCCCCTCTTAGTGATGCAGCTATGTCTCTCCAGGAATAGATGGAGGTTTGGGGGCCAGAGGAGCTGGTGCACTCCCACGCCGTCTGGGGCGTCCTTCCCCTGGAAGGGGAGCAGTTCTCACCCAGTCTGTGTCTTCTTGTGTTTCCGCAGTACGAGGAAGAGGGGCAGATCTTCTTCACCCTGGACGAGGGGAACACCCGGTTCTCCGACCTGATCCAGCTGGTCGACTTCTACCAGCTCAACAAGGGTGTGCTGCCTTGCAGACTGAAACACCACTGCATCCGCGTGGCCTTATGACCTCAGACGCCTGCCCGGCGACACCACAGAGAGCCGACACTGGACGGAGGCGAGGAGGACCCCCCCACCCCTAACCCCCACCTCAAAACCTGCGCAGCAACACACATTCACACGGTGCCAACGACCAAGAGCGACCAAGAGCGACCAGTTTTTCATGGTGACTTGCTGGCTGTGGACCCCAGCGCCCTCCTGTTTCCCGGCTGGGTCAGGGGAGGCTCGTGGGGTCCCCCACAAGCCCGGAAGAACCTGGAATGAGCGTCTTGGCTGGACCCCTTGGGAAGGAGAGGAGCAGAGGAAGCAGAAGAGAACTCTCGCCCTGGGATAATCTTGATCCTTACAACTGCTATGTTTACGTTTTGTGTTGTTCAGTGGACCCCATGCTGTTGGTGTTGTGCTCAGCCTATGTAGGAGGGTTGTAGTTTTTTGATGCGTGTGAGACAGAAAACATTTCCGATTGGCAGATTGCAGGCTGAAAAGGGTCCCTGGAGGTCCCCGGGGATAGCCCACACCCCCTGCAGGTTGTCACTGTGTGAATTTGGCTGCCCCATTACAAACCACCCCCTGCCCTTCCCTGTATACTTGAAAAGCTTTTTTTAAAATAAAAGGTGTCAGCTGTGGTCAGCTCCCGGCCCTTCTTGGGGGTGGTCTCGCCGCCATGGTCCCGGTCTTGCCGTGCTCAAGTTGGTCCTCTTGTCTTTAGGTGTCTAGTTCTTTTGGCGCTGGTGACATCACCACATTGGGGAACTCATGGGCCCCACACAGCCCAGCGGGGCCTGCCGCTAGGGGTGACCCGACCCTCACGGTTTCCTGAGGGCACCCCAGGGGCCCAAGGATCTGAAAAGAAACCTGCACCTGGTTGGCTAGGTGCTGTATCCCAACGGTTGCCATGGTAACGAAGGCCAGGAACTAATGGCCTGGGGCCCAAAACCTGGCTGCCACTTCACGCCTCTGCTTGGCGCCCCTGCAGCTCCCTCTCTGTAGGCTTTGGCTCTCGGGCACAGAGCCAGCCCAGAGCTGGGTTGAGGACTCCAGGGGTCCTTTGTACGTCCCTTAGCTGAGTCACCAGGTGTGAGGGTGACGGGCAGGGCCCTTGCACAAGCAGATGACTGCCCCGCCCGGCAGCTCACTGTCCTTCCCCGAAGCCACGCCTGACCGGCTCCTGTGACAGCCAGCGCTGGACCTCCCAGTCCCACCTTGCCTCCCAGGCCCTCCTCCCCTGCCCTCCTGGTGACGGTGACAGACCAGCCGCCAGTGGATCTGGTGTAGAAACACTGTATCTTAGTTTACAGCCCACGCTCCAGTTGTGTCCGTGAGACGTCTTACCTATGCGAGTGAAGAATATTTTTGCAAAACGTGCTTGTGGCCATCAGATGTGCGCTCGATGGCACTTTCTTCCCCTCACAGCCAGTTTCTCATCCCAGCTGTTGACTCTGAGCTCACCCTCAAGTCCGTGCCTGGTGGTGTGTGCGCCTCCTCCATTCTGTGTGTCAGGGGTGGGGATGTCACTGCTGCCGTTTTAACCTTTGTCACTGGATGGAGGTCAAATCTTTAGGGGAAAAAAAAAAGCAAGCAGTTCTTGGAGATTGTTTTTCTGTTTACGTAGACCAGTCTGCAGCACATAGCCTCTTCCACTGAAGCAGTAGACTTTGGCTGCGATGTGCAGTATTCTAGTTATGAGTATGCGTTTTGCTTCTAAGATGGGTGGTAGCTCAACTCTGATTCATGGTTTCGTGTGTGTAGCTGGTTGATTTAGTTTTTTTGTACCCCAGCTGAAGCGACGGCCCACAGCCTGCACATGCCTGGCCACCCTGCGTGGGTGGCTGGGGCTGGGGAGTCCCCAAAACAACAGCTTGTCCCTGGGGCTGTGGGCGTCCAGCCCTCCGGCAGGGACAGGCGGACATCTGACATTTATTTTTGTATTTAATTGACATGAATGTAAAGGGGACAGCTCAGGGTTGTTTTGGAGCCTGTTGACTTTTGAATCTCTGCCTGTGCTTTTCTAAATGAAAACTCCACGTAGCAACCTGGACTAAGTTGAGAAAGAAAATGCCAAATGCTTAGGGTAGTAGAGGCTCGGAGGGAAGCCCTGTCAATAGGTGTTAGAGTTCCAGAACGTGTTTTTTGTCTGCTAAACCTTGAAGAAACATGTGCCTCAGCTTAGCTGTTTTGTCTTCTCCTTTCTGCGCTCGATCCCTGACCACCTGACCGACCACTGCGCCACCCGGGGGTGGGACAAGCTCATCGTAGATTTGTGATGTCACAGTGCCAGCTACAGTGACCATCAGTGGCCTGACGTGTCTGCGTTTTCAGGGAATGCAGGAGGCGTTGATTCTGAGACAAAACCTTTTCGTGTGTGCTTTGCTTCCTTCTGTATATAGCTCTTTGGCTCGTGAACCTAATCGTAAACTTTCAGGTATTTTTGTACAATTAAGGGACGGATGCTCTGTTTCTTGTAACTCGAAATAAACATGATTATGGTGTTCTTCATTCCTATTGCTCGGGGTCTGTGTCTGCTTTTAAGAGCGTCCTCGCTGGCTCACTCCCTGGCCATCTCTGCCCACCTGTCCTGTCCTTTCTGCACCCACAGAGGCCAATCCTTGCCAGGTCTCAGAGTCACCCGCAGTGTGAGGCCCATAGAGAGCACTCATGCCTGGCAAGCCCAGTGGCACTTTCCCCTGCAGTGGGACAATGAAAGTATCGACAACCTGAGTTTTCTGGTCCAGTAAGAAACTGGCTAGGGCCAGCCAGATAGCTCAGCAGACTAGAGCACCTGCTTAGGCAGGCGCAGGGACCAGGGTCCCTGGTATCACATGCAATGTTGGCCCTGCACAGGGAACGCTGAGACCGGGCGTGGTGGCGCTCGCCTGTAATCCCAGCACTTGGGAGGCTGAAAACAGGAGGATCCCTACGAGTCCAATCTAGTAGTGAGACCCTGAACACCCTGTACTGAAAGAAAGAAAAAGAAAGAAAGAAAGAAAGAAAGAAAGAAAGAAAGAAAGAAAGAAAGAAAGAAAGAAAGAAAGAAAAAGAAAGAAAGAAAGAAAGAAAGAAAGAAAGAAAGAAAGAAAGAGAAAGAAAGAAAGAAAAGAAAGAAAGAAAGAAAGAAAGAAAGAAAGAAAGAAAGAAAGAAAGAAAGAAAAAAAAGAGAAGAAACTGGGCCTGGGCATGGTAGTGCATGTGTATAACCCCAGCCCTCTGGAAGGCTGAGGCAGAAGGATCACAAGTATAAGCCCAGAAGGATGATTCAACTACCCAGTGAAGCCCTGTCTCAAAATAGAAGGAAGGAGATGGGGTTGTAGCTCAGTGTGGGGTCCTGGGTTTAGTCCCCAGTGCCAGCTCCAAGAAACAAACCACAAAGGTGAAGAGAGTGGATGGCTCTGCTGTGCTTCCTGGCCCTCCACCTGCAGGCACCTTTGGGGCACCTGCCTGCGCCCCACCCTCCCCAGCCAGAGCCAGGGGGTGTGGTCACATCCCCACCCATGGCCACCGGACACCTCAGTGTCTGGAACACCCTGCCACTTGCTTTTAAAATCTCAGTCCTTAGTTTCAGGCTGAACTTGGTGGCAGAACAAGGCTGCCATAACTCTGGGTCCCAGACAGCCATCCCTGGAGTGCTGGGCTCTGCGACCAGGAGGCTGGGGGAGGTGGCCAGGCAAGTCTCCAGGTCACACCGACTGTCCCTCCTGCCTGGGACACAGAGCCACACAGGGGAAGGGCAGAGTCGGCCACGCTGTCTGCCTTGGAAGTGAACCTGCGATCCAGGGTGGACAACAAATAAGAGAAAGCCCCCCCCGGCTGAGGTCGCTCTTGTCCCCCACCATCATACGGGTGGCAGCGCAGCTCACCAGGCCCGAGATCCAGTAGAGGAGGGCGGGGCGACAGCAGAGGGCTGGCCTGACGCAGGCCGTGTCACGGGCTCGGGCACCTGCCTTGGAGTCCCACCTTCGCACACCATCCTGACGGGGTCCCCGACCCAGCGGCTGCCCTCTTTGCAGCAGGACATGCTTTGTTCTACTGGGAACAACCAGACAGCATCTCGGGTCACGGGGGGTTTGTCATTGGAAATCACCACTGTGCTCAGCTCTCCCTAGTGCAGCAGCAGGCAGCCCTGTGTCCCACAGGTTTCTCCTCACTGGATTTGACTGAGCAGAAAACTTTGAGCGTTGCCAGCGTACCTGGGTCTCCTGATCGCCTCTGTACCCAGCACGTACACCACCTCCATTCCTCATGTGGAGGTGGACACGGGCACGGCACAGCTTAATTCCTTTCTTGATCTCATGGCTCTGCCACCCCCACTGCCTCTTAGTCCCCTTCCCCTTTGAGGAAGAGCTTGTTCCCTACTTCCTAGTGTCTATCCCCAGAGCTGGAAGAGACCCAGAGTAACAAGAACAGCCGTGGGTAACAAGAACAAAGCGGAAGGCATCACAACCCCAGACCTGAAATTATATCACAAAGCTACAGTGATAAAAACGGTATGGCACTGATACAGAAGAAGGTCCCGCGGAGCAGACTGGAGGGTGCAGAAGGGCTGAAATCACACACTGCAGGAGGAGGAGGAAAAGGCGCTCTGACACTTAGTGTTGCATTACGTATCACGTCACTGAGGGGATTTAAAGCACGCAGGATTGCACGAGATCTGCTCAAAACCTGCATTTCCCGTAAGGGACTTGTGTGTACAGCACAGAGTGGGCTGCAGGCTTTGGTGCCGGGGGGAGGTGGGGGTCCACCCGGGCAGGCCCCTGTGGCTGCTCTGCAGCTCACCACGCACACCTGTTGGGGACCGCAAGGGCTGGAGCATGCACGGCTGCTGAGGGGAGCACAAGGGGTGGGCAGGCGGCCGGGGGACTGCTGGGAAGGCTTCAGGAACGACCGTGGAGCCTGCACGTGCCTCGGCCCACTCGCGGCCTGTGCAGTGTGACAGTGACACATGGCCACTCATATTTAGCTAACTGCAAGCGGAAGCTCAGTCTGAGCCACACAGCGAGTTCTCGTTGACCATGGAACACGCAGGAGGGTGGGAGTTCTGTGTGTGTGTGTGTGTGCGCGCGCGCGCATGTCTGACTGCATGTGTATGTGTATGAGTGTGAGGGTGTGTGAGTGCCTGTGTGTATTGTGAGTGTGTGAATGTGGATGTGGATGTGTGTGAGCGCATGTGTGTGCTAGCGTGTGTGCATGAGTGCATGTATGAGTGTGTGAGTGCTTGTGAGTGTGACTTGTGTGTACATGTGAGTGCATGTCAGTGTGTATGTATGTATGAGAGTATGTGTGTGTGCCTGTGAATGTGTGTTTGTATGAGTGTGTGTGCATTTGTATATATATCCATATGTGTGTACATATGTGTGTGCATGTATGTGAGCTTGCATGTGTATTGTATGTGTGCGCTCGCACACTGTGGGGGGCCCTGGGAGGCGCCCTGTGCGTCCAGCTCTGCAGGGGGACATCAGTGTCTGGGCAGCATGTGGAGCTGGCCCAGCTGGGCTCCAGATCTGAGATGGGAGTCCCTCCACGTGCATGGCCCACAGGTGCACGCGGCGGTGACGCGCCTGGCCAGGTGACCCCGTGCAGCACAGTGGCAGTCTGCCGTGCTCCCTGAGGCTGATGGGTGTCCAGGGCTCTGCTGCATGGACACATGCAGGTACCTGAAAAATACAAAGTGTTTATATTTTTAAGAATTTAGGGGCCAGCAAGATTGTTCAGTGGACTAAAGCGCCTGCTTAGGCAAGTGCAGCAGCTAGGGTTCGATCCCAGGCACCATGGGCCATACCAGCCCCACTGGCCACAGAGTCCAGGCGTGGTGGCACAGCCTGTAAGCCCAGCACTGGGGAGGCTGAAAGCAGGAGGATCACCATGAGTCTGAGCTTCATAGTGAGACCCTGCAACAGCCAAATACATGAGAGGAAACATTGTTACAGGAGAGCCGCATCGCTCCGCTTCCCTCTTCCCTCGCAGCACTCCTGTCCCTTTGGACTCATCTCCTCACCCTTGCCACTTCCTGCCACAGAGCCCTCTCTCCTCAGTGCTGTCAGCTGTGCCGTTGCAGCTGCCCTGGCTCATGTTTCCCTGTCGTGGGCTCTTGGCTTTGGGGACACATCAGAAGCCACACTGTCAGGTCTGAGGTGGGTGGGACACGGTGCCACGTTTCCATGAGCTGCCTCTGTCAGGTGGCACCACAGGCTTCTTCCCTTCCTTTACATCTAAGTCTCTCCACAATTCTGCAGGCCACAAGGCCACCAAGAAGAAAGGCAGGAAATGTAAGCGGAGCCACTGGTGCCACTTCCTGTGTAGATCTGTCTACTGCGAGAAGCGGCTGGCCACAATGATGCTACTACATAGCTCTTTCATTCACTTTTCTGAGGCCGCAAGACAATGCCTGACACCCACAATGCAACGTGGAGGGGTTTACGGTGGCTTATGGGTCACAGGGGTCGGTCCATGGTCGGCGGCTCCAAGGCAGGAGCAGTGTGGCAGACAGGTGTGGCAGAGCAGAGCCGCCGGGTTCAGGCTGGCCAGAAGCAGAGCAGAGGAAGCAGATAAAGATGCCAGAGCCCCACCTCCATGACACCCCCAAAGTGTCCCCGCATCCTCAGAGGTCACTCCCCATGCCCACCACGGCTCACTTTTTCTGTAATGCTTGCTGGGTAATGCTCTCCTGTCTTATTGCTTCAAGCTTCATGCCACTGCTTTCCAGCCAGAGCTTTACTTCCCATCCTTACCTTTCTCTGCTCTAAACTGAAAAAAAAAAAGAAAAAGAAAAACACATTGTAGCCATATACGAATGTTTAGAGCAGCACAAATCAAAAAGGCTGAATTTTGGAAATAGTCTATATGTCCGACAACCAGAAAGTAGACCTAAAACACGTGCCGTAATGCTCAGTGGAGCACCGCCCACCGGTGAGGAGGGACGGACGCGGGTGGCGTGCTGGGCCGGGGATGAGCCAGAGCGCAGAATGCTTGCGTAGTGGAGTGAACAGGCAGCAAGGTTGAACATCACGCGCTTTCTCTCCCAGGAGAAGCCCAACACATAAATGGCTTAAAGAATGAAATAAAAGCATAGGAAAACAGGAGATGCACTTCATGGAGACAGCGGGGACCTGCAAGTGACAGGGCAGGAAGCCACAGAGGCCAAGCTGCGAGGCCCATGTCGACCCATCCCTGCATGAGTGCACTTGGGCACCCAAACATATGCTAATGAAAATAAGCCCTTTGGTTTTTTGTTGTTGTTGTTGTTGTTGTTGTTTTTAAAGTTCTTTTTTTTTTAATTATTTATTTATTTATTTATTGTGTGTGTGTGTGTGGCCAGCTCAGCCCACCAGGGGGTGGGGCTGGCTGGCATGTGGTGCTGGGGGATCGAACCACAGTCCTTGTGCTTTGCTGAGCTTGTTCCAAGTAGGTGCTTTAGACCACTGAGCCATCTCACCAGCCCAAGCCCTTTGGTTTTTTTTAATTAATTTTATCAAGAAAGAAATAGCAATGAGACAGTTTCAAAACAGGTTAATAGGACAGTAACAATAATTAATACATTGCATATTGTTGTCTTCATAGTAGCTATTCATAGTACAAGATGCAAATACAATATCTTGTCTAAACACTATTAGTACAGGGCTGGTGAGATGGCTCAGTGGTCTAAAGCACCTACTTAGAACAAGCTCAGCAAAGCACAGGGACCGCGGTTCAATCCCCCAGCACCACATGCCAGCCAGCCCCGTCCCCTGGTGGGCTGAGCTGACCACACACACACATACTAAATAAATAAATAAATTTAAAAAAAATAAATAAACACTATTAGTACAAATCTTTCTTCTCATTGAACTAAGAGAAAGTAGCCGGATATCTACCCTATTTTGTATATACAGATATATATTGCTTCACTACAAAATGGTCCTTCATTTATATCCTCCTTTTTTGTTTACTTTTGTCAGAGAAGGGTATTCCATTGCTATTCAAATATTGTAGGTGTGTGAATTCTGCAAAGTAATCCAATATGTCCAGTAGTCCATAATAGTAGTGGGTTCTCCGCAGGGCTAGCAAGGTCAGAAGTTGTTCACTTGAGCCTTTTGCAGCTCAGCATATGAAAATGGCTTTACTTTTTATACTTTGTTTTTATACTTTTCTGCTGGATAGTTAAAACCAAGATAAAGCAAGACCTATATAACAAGAAATGTAACTTTTGTTCTGATAAGGTCAGTCAGATCCCCTCAGGATTTACCCTGAAAGCCTGTACCGCAGTGTGTAGATCCTCTGTCAGTGTCAGCCATGTGGATGAGTCACGGCCATTGCTTGGCCATTGTGCTCTCTGTGAAAGCCGGAGAGAATGTTTTCTCTCCATGTGCTCTCCTCAGGCACATACCACACCGCGAAAGAGATGCAGGCCTCACAAGGCCGCCTGCTGTCTCCCCCCAACCACTCCCTGACACGTGACACAGCTCTGGGCTGAATTCTCTGTGTGTCACACAGGAGCCAGTGCTGCCCCAGCAGTCACCAGCCGTGGGCTGTGTGGTTGTGCAGTCTCCTGGCTGCACACATGTGCACGCACGCGCACACACACACGCACACACACACACACACACACACACAAAGCATCCTGCCGCTTCCTGCTCCCTGGGTCTGTGCTGTTCCTCAGCAGGAAGACCAGCGGAAGCAGGAGCAGCCTCACCTCTCTCAGACTCACATCTCCCACGAGAGCAGCACAATCCTGGGACACAGGGAGCCCTTAGGAGCTACTTCCCTTAGACCTCCAGCGCCCTCCCTTGCTATGGGGTGCATGTGTGCACTGTAGCTTGTACACCCCACTTCCCACAGCTCTTTGGAGTTGGTCACTAGGCCTGGGTGGCACTGAACTCTCCAGTCTCAGGACTATCTCAGTGCTGTCCCCCCCTGGTGTCCTTCTACCAGGGTGTCACTTGTGCTCCCAGCAAGGAGCCCAGGCATAGAGCGCATGTGCACCTCTTCCCTCCCCTACCTCACACCCTCCCCTTCCTTCCATCCAATGTCTATGGCAGAGATTTGGGGTCCCCTCAGGGCCACTGCTCCTGTCCCTGAGGTCCCAGTCCTCACAGCAGGATGCCTCAGCTCTCAGCCCCTCTGCTCTATACTCCCCTCAGGAAAGCACAGAGCCCTCTGTCCCTCACCATCACACATGGCCCTGCTCACAGCCACCCTGTCCTCGAGAGACTGCCCCACACACAGCCTCCCTGCCCGGCAGCCTGGAGCCCAACTGCAAGGGCTGCCACAACACCACGCCAGGGCTCAGTGCCGTGTCTCCAGCCCTGTGGGAATGGCAATTTTGCTTCCTCTGGGAACTGGCGCTATGTCACTCACAGTGCCGTGTCCCAGCTGACCCTGCAGTGGCCCTGTGGGGAAGGGGGCTTTCGGGCGGCAGTGATCCCCTGTAGCTGGAGCCCCAGCTATACTTCCCGGGCACAGTGCTTAGCCTCAGGGTTCTGCAAGGGCAAGTCACCTAGGGGGTTCCTGCAGCACCAGAGTTCACACAGTGACCAGGTGGGGCTGACGTTCTGGCACCAGCGCCTTGGTGCCCAGGAACAAGTACTCAGGGCCATGTGGAAGACCGGTCCAAGCTCAGGCTGGAGGGCAATGGGCTGCCGGAAAGCCCTTCCTGGGGGAGGCCCAGCTGTACCTCTTGTGTCCTGGGCCTTTACCACCGCCGATTAATGATTAATGTTTAACCAGCACCTGACTAAAGGGCAAGGACGAAGACGCACAGTCCCAAGACACAGTGCCACAGCCACCCCAGCCAGGCCGCTTCTCCACTGCCAGTGCCCAGTTGTAAGGCCTCCGCCAGGACCCGTGAGGAGGCAGTGTTCCTGGTGAGCAAGTCTCTGCTTTTGTGCTTTCTCAGATGCAAGTGACCAGACACCGTGACTCTTGGGCCCCACCCAGGGAGGGGATGGCTCCTGGGACTACGGGCCGGTGGACCACTGCAGGCCGAAGCCTTCCTCCATGTGGAGGGCTGGGCAGAGGCTGCCACACTGTGTGGGTCGGCAGGTGCTATGCAGGTGCACACATGCTTGTGCACAGGGAGACATGCTCATGTGCCCATGTGGACACACATGTTCATACATGTACACCTGCACAGGTGTCTGCACACATTCACCAGCACTTGTGGACACATGTGCACATGGTCATGGGTATGCACACATGCACACTCTTGTGAGTGCCTTCATAGCAAACACTGAAAGACACAGGTCCTCCTTCTTCTGCCATGTCCCACGCGGGTGGCCCTGGGCGACGACCGCCCCAGCCCTGTGTCTCCCTCTGTGAGTGGAGTTTAACAGCACCCGACTGTCCAGGTTCTCATGGGCTCCCATCTGCGTCATGGGCGTGCTGGGTGCATGTGTGGGAGATGAGTGAGCAGTGGGAGTCCATCTTCCACCCGAGGGGCACCTGCAGGCTGTGAGGGCCTCTTCTCCTGGTCTCCACAGTGTTACCTGAGCAGTACAGGCTGTTATGATCTGGGCCCAGGTGTCCCCCCAAAGTCTCATGCAGTCTTGGGGGGCCTCTACAGTTTGTGATTGATTCATGATCCAGTGCTGGGATTATGGGTGTGAGTGTTGCTGGGATTATGGGTGTGAGTGCTGCTGGGATTTTGGGTGTGAATGCTGCTGGGATTAGAGTGTAAATGCTGCTGGGATTATGAGTGTGAGTGCTGCTGGGATTATGGGTGTGAGTGTTGCTGGGATTATGGGTGTGAGTGCTACACCTACTGTGGGGCAGGCAGCCTGAAAGCCATATAAAGAAGGAGAGGGGAGGGAAGGGTAGAGGAGTGGAGGGAAGGGAAAGGAGAGAGGCTGCTTTCTGCCCCTGAGCCTCCCTTTTGGCTCTTGCTGTTTTGCTGTCTTCCAATGCTCCAAATAGCCGTCCCCTGCCCTGTGCCACTCTGCCTTGGAGCCAGCCAAGTATGGACTGAAACCTCTATAAACGGTGAGCTAGATAAACCTTTCCTCCTTAACTTTGCTATTGGGTGTTTTGTCCCAGCAACAAGAGAAAAGTAACCAAGATGTGAGCTGAGAAGTCAGAGGTCCTACCGGCCCCTCAAGGGTGCCCAGAGTCCTCGGGGTCAGACAAGCGGCCTTTACTGGGCCTGGGGCGGTAGCTCCAACGCACCGGGCTGTGGCGGCTCTGTCTAGACAAGGCTCTCGTGCTTCATCTCTGACCACAGCCGGCTCACCAGCGTGAGAATTAAGACAGGAGAGGGGAGGGGCTGGCATGAGCTTTCGCAGCTGCAGCGGTGGGTTAGGGCCATCCCCTCCCTCAGGGCAGCAGGCTGGTGGGTCCAGGATGACAGGGGCCGGACCCCCAACTGCTCCTGCCTTCTGGGCAGAGCCAGGAGGCAGCGCGGCCCAGTGCCCAAGAGCTCTCCATGCTGATGTGCTCGTGGAGTTGGACGTGGTGCTTAGAACCTAGATTGTAACCTTCAGGTGTTAAAAATGACCAAATGGTTCATGAAGCAACACAGTCACCAGCTGTGTGCGCATGGTGTGGTGCATGTGCGTGGTGCATTGCTGTGCATGCACATGTGTGTCCTACACTGTGCATGTAGAACGTGTGCACCCCGTGTGTGCATGCATGTGCACACCGAGCATACATGTGTGCACATTGGCATGTGCTCATTTGCTTGGACACATGTATGCACATGTGCTGATGTATGCCCGTGTGTGCTTGCGCAGAGCCTGCCTGTGTGCATGCACATGTGGGTGCATGTGCACAGCCACAAACACGTGTGGGTCTACATTTGAGTTGCATGTATGTGCCTCTCTGTGTTTGTGCACGCGTGTGTGCATGCAGTCAGGGCACAGGAGTCTGAACGTTGCTGCCGCCAGAGCAACCCTTCATCCCCCTCCTGTGGCTGCCCAGCAGCCCCTTCTCCAGAGCTGCAGGCTTCTGCTGAGAGGAGCTGAGCACTGTGTCTGTCTGCAGTGACAGCCCATGGTGGCGCACTTCCCTGTGCCACCCCACAGGGAGAACCAGAGCCCCGAGTGGGCCCTGGGTGCCCACAGCCTGGAGCAGAGCAGGACTGCAGACAGGCATTTCCGACTAACCACTCGATGTGCCCTGGCCTTGCAGTCTCTGTCTGGTCAGAAGTAGATATCCAAGTGCCTGGGGCCTGAGAAGGGGAGGGTCCCACAGCCTCCCAAGGCTCCTGCCCCTGCCAAGCATGCTGCAGTGACTGCTGAGCTGCCCAAGTATGCCCTGAGCTGAGGCACCCAGTCTGTATCTGCACAGTGACCAGGGACATGGGCCCTGCCCCTCCCGGCCCCGCCACCCCCCCTCCGTTCCCAGCTCTGGGAGGCTCCGGTAGCTAGCAGCTAGCGAAGTGCTTAGTAAATATGCAGAGCCGGCCGCGCTGATTGGCTTCGGAGCAGACGCTCCTCTACATAAAGGGCAATGACTCCATGTGCCTTTCCACTGTCACCAGGGAGCCAGCGGGAGTGGACAGCACCCTGTGAGTACAGCTCTTTGTCCTCGCAGCAGGGGGCTCCTGCGTGGCTGAGCACAAGGTCTGGGGTTGGGTGGGTGGGGCAGTGTGGCTGGTGTCCCCTCGTTGATTCTCTGCCCTCAGGGGAAGAGATGTTGCTGAGGACAAGGGCGCAGCGGCAATCAGGGAACTTTTTACATTAGGCACCAACTAGGGCCAGCTTGATCTCACGAGTCTTTGCTGAGCAACAAGTCCAAGAAAGAGCCAGGAACTTCCCCTGGCTTTGGAGACTGGCGTCCCGGCAGCCACAGTGACAGAGCCAAATGCCCCTAGGGACCAGGATTTCTAGGCTGGCTTGTGGGCAGCAGCTGGGGTGCGCGATGTGGGGATGGTGACTGGGTGTGCTCTGGAGGTCAGCCGGCTGCACGTGCTGCGTGCATCATCCTCGGGAAAGGGCCAGGCACACAGTGGGTGCTCAGTCCTTGGGAGCTGGCCAGCGTGGTGGCACCCACCTGAGGCATAGCACTATGGGAGGCTGAGGCAGGAGGATCACAAGTTCAAGTCCAGCCTTGGCAACACAGTGAGATCTTAGCTCAAAACAGAAATTAATCAAAAAGAGTTGAGGGCATAGGTCAGTGTAAAGGCCCTGGGCTCGATCCCTTGTGTGGTCCACAAAGGTGGGGGTGCTCTGGTGGTTGAGCAAAGGAACAGGGGAAGCTTAGGTTTCAGCCCTGAAAACGCTGCCCAGTGCCCAGCAAGCCCTACAGGGCCTCCTGCCTCCAGGGTGCAAGGGAAGGGAGCTCAGGTCACCTGAGTCCTCTGTCTCCCAGGGGCCTGGTCAGCCCCGCTGCCTTCAGATTGCTTTGCAGTGAGTTGTATTTGCCTCTGAGACTGGCCGCAGAGAAGGTGCCATGGCAGGGTCTGGCTGCCTCGGGCTGGGAAGGCAGTGTCCGTGTTCATGGCCACCCCCAGGCTCCAGCTAGCAGCCTGCAGTGTCCCCAGGCCCAGGCTGCCTCATCCCTGAGCAAGGGTGCCGGCCTGTGCTGCCCAGAGGGCACCTGGGCATTTCCCAGGGGACAAGATTGGTCCCTGGAGCTCCCTTTCCTGTCTCCTGGCGCCCAGGGGTCACAGATGCTGCAGCCAGGTAGAAGCAACCCTCCTCTGGTAGGAGGCCATTGTGCTGGCTGCACTGGCCTCGGGGGTATACAGGGGAGAGGGGCTGGGAGAGGGGCTCCCAGCATCTCAGGAGCGCAGCTCCTGTCCTTCTCTGATGCTGGGAGGAGTTTCTGGAGGAAGACAGAGAGCAAGCTAATGCCCAGCAGGCAGTGGGATGCAGCTGGCCCTGAGGGGTGCTGGTGGGGAGGTGGTCTCCTTCAAGCCCCGCACAGCATGTGGACAGCCTGGTCTCCCTGTGTCCACTTCCTCCTCTCCGCAGAGCTAACCTGGTCCAGACTGAGAGACTGCAGGTGCGCTCACCCCAGCCCTGGGCCCGGGAACACGTCCACACCCTTGCTAGGGAGGAGCAAGGTAAAACACTACTGTTGTATGTTGTCAGTCAGAGTCGAAAGAAATGATGAGAAGACCCAAGGAATATAGCTCCAGAGGTCTCACTAACATGAATCTCTCTCCAAGTGAGCCCCGAGCCAGAGTCACAGAAACATCTCATATTTATTGGGGGTTAAAGACAGGCTAAGGAGGACGCATGACTACTTTGCTGAGCACAAACTACTCTCTCTACTGACTTCAGCATTTACTTAACTAAATTTACCCAATGCTAGCTGACAACATCTCAAGCAAGGGGTCAAAGAATAGACAGGGTGCAAAAAGGAGGAGCTGCTATCTGCAGCCTTGAATCTCAGCTGATGGAGTTTACAAGAGAGACCTCAGTGCTCCTTGGACTCTGCTTATTGCTCCTTGCTCCCTCGGGACATTAGGCTTTTGTCTCGTATCTATATTTCTGTACTTCCCCATTTTTGTTTTTATGCTGAAATTTTTTGAAGCATTAGGGTGAGGACCGCAGATTTCTCAATCCATGGCTTGTTGCCTTGTCACCAAGCTAAGCAGGATATACCAACAGTACAGAGCTGACAAAGGTAATTATTACACCCCCACTGAAGCAGGGAACGGCATGAAGATTAAGGTTTTCACCGCCATTGGACATGCCTTGTAACTGATCAGACAGTTCTGACAATTGTTTTGCAAAAGTATTATCAATATGTTGCTGAAAAGACAGGATCTCAGAGGTAATGTGAGCATGACACAATAAATGCTTTTTAAAATTTTCCCGTGGGAAACAAGTTTGATTCCGTGGAATTGGAGTTACACAGAAGAAGAGGTATTCCAATACATTTTATGAAGCTGGCATTACAGATTAACAGCTTGATCTCCTAG